AAGTCATTCCGTACAAACAGAAGTAAGGCTTTTGTTGTGACTTAGGCTAGGGGTGGCGCCATTCAACAGTCTTAACCGATCACTAAGGCTCCTTATATTTGATCTGGATTTCCTTATTCCCTCCATTGGCTATCCGTTTGCGTCTTCAGCCCATACTGTGGGTTTTCTCTTTGTCCTGGGATCAATTTTTCTTCAAGTATTTCTGCCTAAATTAAGGTTTAATCTCCATCGCCACTCCACCCGACTCTAGCCCCTACTTCACCTGGAGGTTTATATTACGAGGAAAGGCGACACCTTGCCAATTTTAGACACCTGTCCCATTTCGGTCTGTAGTGGGGTAAAAAGTGACGTTGGTCCTTAACAGGACTATGTTTGTTTGTTTGCACAGCATTGGATGAGAACTTGTGTAGCAATGTGTTGTTAGGAGACAACCCCCCATGTCCCCTGTGACAGGAAGTCGTCACCAGAGTGACCAGACTGACCACATCTGTATCTTATTAGTTATGAATAAAGGACTCAGACCAGAGTGTCTGAGAGACAGTTCTAGCAGGCAGCCACTGAGTACGGACATCCTTTATAGCGTCTCCTTTCCTAAACCCTACATTGGTGGCCAGCGGTGTGTTGCCGCTTACGAGCGGCCGAACCCGTCCCTAGCCTACGCCATCGTGCTACGCCATGCCTCCTGAATCGCCAGGCGACGATTCCACCCGCCCGACTGCTGCTCGAGCTGCGCTACCATGCCTGCAACCGTCCGTTTAGCCAGCCTGCCGTCGTGCCATGCAGCCAAACGCCTGCCTAGCCAGCCTGCCGCCGCGCCATATCGCTACCCGACCCCACCCGACCGTCGACGTGCCACCGTCCCGTCCACTACACAGCCTGAGCTCGCTCACCGACCACTCGTGCCATGCATGTGTCCAGCCATCTCTAGCCGCCGCCGCCGTCGCCGAGCCCGACACCACGCCACGTGTACAGGACCGTGCGCCCGCTCCTGAGTAGACCACGCTGCCGTCCTTCTGCGTCCGATCGTGCCAGCCCGACCAGCCCATGCTGCCGACGAGTGCCGCCGACCTGAAGCCTCCGTGTGCTCCAGCTTCCGACAATGACCATCCGCATGAACTGTTGAACTTCTGCTGTGACCTGAATGAACTCTAAGTACTTGTGCCTGGAATTTCCACCACTGAACTCTGCCTGTGTATAACATCTGCGAACTTTAGCGAGTGAACTCTAGCCGTGTGTAACATCTGCGAACTTTTGTGGTTTTTGAAAGGTATTGTAGCACGCTGTCCTATCTACTATGTTTTGTATTTTGTGTCTTGCGAATAGAACTGCTAGCCGAGGAACTGGTCGATGCCTGCGGGCCGACACTCCTGTGCATTTTCTAGATATGCTGCTTGCCTAAAATGAGCTGCGACTTACGAGTCAACTCTTTTAGGAAGCCTATTGCTCCCCGATCACATCGAAGGCCGGTGTGGCGTCGGATGACTGTTTTTAGATTATTTTCTGCTTGCCTAGATAGAGCTGCGGCCTGCGGGTCAAAACTTCTAGGAAGCCTTTATGTAACTTGTTTGTATGTTGTGCTCCAAGTACTGGCGCCTTTGAAATCACCAGCGCCCATTTTCACAGCAGTTAGTCCGTATGTGCACCGGAAGAATCCATCTGTGTACCGGAAGAATTTAGTATTTTATGGTCCTCCTGAATGTTTACTTATCAGCTTTGTTTACATTATCTTCGATCGCTCACGCCATGACATGTCTTACCGATTATACCTTTTCTTGTATCTTGTATTCAACCTTGTAAAATCTTTTCGTTCGGGGACGAACGACTTGTGAGAGGGGGCGAGTGTAGCAATGTGTTGTTAGGAGACAACCCCCCATGTCCCCTGTGACAGGAAGTCGTCACCAGAGTGACCAGACTGACCACATCTGTATCTTATTAGTTATGAATAAAGGACTCAGACCAGAGTGTCTGAGAGACAGTTCTAGCAGGCAGCCACTGAGTACGGACATCCTTTATAGCGTCTCCTTTCCTAAACCCTACACTTGTACCGTACGGTACGGGATTCGGGAGTCGTGACTACCTATGCCTGACCAGCAATGTACAGGAAAGTCTGGGCAGCTTCTAGGCTAACCTGGTAAAACAGTGACGCAATATCGGCGTGCTGTGTCGTGTTTGTTTGTGTTGAATGGCGGACGGGAGTGATCAGCTAAACTCCCGGTCCCCGGACAATGATCAACGGTGTCCCCATCAACTCTTTCACCCTCGTGTCGGTATTTTCTACATCCTAAACAAAAAAGGTTACTCGGGCCGAGACAGAACGCCGCCAACCGCCCACGCACTTGATATACTTCTCTATTTCACTGTGAAACAACCGTATCAACCTTCACACAAACCTACTTTCGTCAACTTTATGTGGCACACGTTTTATCTGTTTACACCTCCTTTATACGACTGTTAAAATACATGTATAGGAAAAGACGTTAAAACCACAACTAGCGCTCAGTGCAGAGGGAGGAGTCGTTCAAGTTGGCACAGCGTCTGCCGGCTGTTCCGGAAACCGGCTTCCGTCATCAGCTTGTCGGCTTGATGTCTGTGCAGTGGGCACTTCTCCCTGTGTCCACACGCCGGCCCACTCGCTGCCGTGTTACGCACACCCGTGTGTACAGGTGTGTTCGGACGTGACTGCAAACAAACGAGCGCTCTGGCGTTTTTCAAGGAGTGTCCCGAGGGCACACAAGTATCATTCGGCCATTTTGTTTGCTGATCAGTCATCTTCACTCACGGACGACGTGACCATGGCCCCGTCGCAACTTAAAACGATAATGGGAAGAAACATAAAAATTAGAAAAATATACGTTCAATCTCTTTAAATCTTTGCCCTAACACGAACGGGCCAGATAGGGAGTGCCTCCTATCGAATTAACATACTATGTGCTTTATACACCAATTTATAATATTTTCAAGGTATGATTTCATTAGTATAACTTCAATATCGCCCTTTGTATGACGCAGTCAGTGGCCGTGAGTTGACACCTACACAGAAGAGATACATGTGTCTACACGTACGTTGTGCCAATGTTGACACGTGCCCGTCCTGAGTTTGTGCCTTAACAAAACTTCCCGCCTCACCTGTAAACACACGGAAATTATTGGCCATCCGTCAACCCCAGACAGCGTGCCGTCTGCTCTTGCCGCACAAAAGAGACTTTGGGTTTGTACGTGACCCAACAGACGTTGTTGTACAAGAGATTTACCGCCGTGATTTGTACACAAGCACTTCAAAGAATTAAATGGTTATTACTCTACAGGAAGATTCTCGGTATACGTTGACGTTTCGTTTACTTGGATTTATGTATACCATTTCTGCATAGAGACACCGAGACGAAGTATTGCTGTCCCTCCTTTTGGGATACTTTGGAAAGAAAGCATCAGCAAACTCGATGCTATGACACACAACATCTACTCAGATATCATTCAGTGGTTTCACCTTGGCATAGATTATGACCTCTTACTTTCGCTAACGTTCCAAAGGCTATCATACGGTTTTCGATATCAGATACTTCTGTAGGGGTTAGAACACTTCAATGGAGGGAATAATAGATTTAGCACTGACAGATAAAATACTTTAACTACATTTAAGGTAAATGCATATTGCTAGATCCGTAAGAAAAAATTAATCCGAGGACAAGGATTTGTTATAAATGACCAAAACGCAAACGTACGGTGACGAAATGACGCAATTCCGGGCATGTTGTCCAAGAAACGGTCCTCTGTAGTTACCTTTTATCTCACAACACTAAAAGAAAACAGCCAATAATGACGAATAGAATAAGTGATTACCATCACACAGTCAACAAAAGAACTTAACAATGACTTTCGTTAATAAGTGACCTCAGCACACGTGCGGAATATTATGTTATTGTCGGTTTGTGTGGGTTTCACCTTAGGCGACGTGGTCTCCTTGGAAACAGGCCTTTATAGTTCCCTTTTATCTCATAACACTCAAAAACATTCAACAATGACGACCAAAAATAGCTCATTACCGTTCTTCTTACGTACGAAAACAACTGCTTCAAGATGTCTTTTGATAGCCCTGCCGTTCTTTTCTTGGGCCGTTTGCGTAGGTACACAGTACACCTGTCGGTCCTTACTGCACCTTTCAGGACTGAGGACTACCTTGGAGTACCTCTTGATTTGAAGACGTGACCAGACAAACAGGACTTCCTGCCAAGTGCGTCATTTCGTCTATTTATTTTGAAAGATAGCATCGTTTGCGGAGAGCGGGAGAGAATGGTTCGATTGCCAAATACAAACACGTGGGTAGCCGGCGGGTTACCGAAGTTTCCCTCAGGTTTATCAACAGTAGGAACACCTGACGGCGGGGCGTGATGGAGCCGTGGGGTCACTCCGGGGCGGGCGGAGCTAGTCTGTGCTCTACCACTAGTACCAGGCTTCGGGAAGCGGCAGCGAAGAGTAGAATGATTGGCCAAATATACAGATTATGCCAGCTAGGGAAGTTGGTCCGATTGTCGCTCAAGAGAGCGGACCAACTCCCCTGGCATAATCTGTGTATTTGGCCGATTTCTTCTCTTTTCTGCCGATTCCACGAAGCCTGGTAGAGCCTGGGTGGACCCTGGAATCACCCTACCGGTGAAATTACTCTGTTCTACCTTCGGACGGTGTTGGTGGCGATGAAAGGAGAGGAAATGACTCGTGTTCGGGTCGGCGGTCGTTTGAAATTCGGAGTTTCCTAGCGCGACTTGTGCGTAAATAAACACGATTCATGTGGTGACTACCGAATAAAATCAACATTGTTTGGGACGTTTGACCTTGTTGTTTTGTGAATCATAACTACATTCTTGTATGCATCTGGCCCTAAAAATGTATTAGAATACGACTAAATAATCAAACCAAATCATCCACAATCAAGACGCAATAACGACACTGACGCGCACGAACAGTTCCAATATTTATATTGTAAACACTGACAGTCAGAAGCCGTCTTACGAATAATGTGTAATGATGTACAAATATGTAAGTAAACAAATGAAAAATTTCATCTTTGTTATCGTGCTTTTAAAGGATACAAATCTATCTGTCATGACGCCAAAGCGATATTGATACACCTGGATACAACATAACACACACAACAGAAATAATAATGGACTGATATGATACATCGGCTTCAACCGGCTATGAGTATGAAAATAATATATAGTTTGCTTTTCTTGAAGTCATACATCCACGTAGACTAAACTGAAATTGTCATAGAGATACGCCACAAACGACATATACTTATTAGAAGTTCCACAAAATGTTCCAAACGACCCTAATAAATGACCGTAACAAGATCCACATGCTACTTCGTTACGCAGTAAACATTGTACACTCATCCCCAGTTATGCTCCGTATCAATATAGCTAAACTTTTAATCAAAACTTTTAACATCAAAATGTTTAACCAAGTCGTCAAATATGCTAAGTGACAACCCCAAAAGTAACATGAATCAGAATCGTCAAATATCCACAGTAAAGTCGGATTCGGGCAAACACAGTAATGTTCATGCCGCTAATGTTTGTTTTGTACTTAGACATCAAACAAAGTATACAGTTGTATGTACATAATGGGACTGTATATCCGCTAACCAGGTAAGGAGGAACGCCCCTTCAGAACAAATGTGTAGAACTGACCGTCAGCCAACTCTATGACTGAAAAATATCAATATATTCCATAAACCAATGCAACTGATACCAACAGACAGGGACAAGTTATTAAAGGACGTGAAAGCTTGGTCAATGTCAGTTAGTACGTTCAAATGGTAGCATTATACAAACATTAAACATACACCACGTAAGGGTCACGGATTCTTTTAGTACTAGCCAGGGAGGAAGGGGTCGTGGGTTTAGTGTGGCATAAACACCTTAGAGTGATCACTATTCCGAGAGAGCAACCTAAAGCTAACTCGTGAATCTTATAGAACTATGCAGGATATGGTAGCAATGCTTCTACTACAGCATTAACTAACGTTGGTTGCTATGGAATAAATAGTCCAATCAGTTTTAAAACTCCTCGCCAACAGTCGCCGATTCAAGATGTCCCTCCTTTACTAAAGAAAATTACATTCCCCCAGAGTACTTCATTTAAAAATAATCATTTCCTAGTCTCATCACTCCGTAGTATATCTAACACCTCCTCGTGTCAATATTCCCCTACTATCTCTGCCAGCTATGCGCCAGACGAGGAAGAGGCGCATTACAGCCGCTTATATGTGTCTATACAGGAAATGATCGCAGCAGTACGTACTCGGGTATTCCCCGGACATCGCCTGCTGCACAGTAGCCAACCGTGGGAACGGCACACAACATTCCTCTACTCCAACCTCCGCAAGCATTAACAAGCACTTACCATAATTAAATAAATGATGTAATACGGCCACGGGGATTCGAAATTCATGAATAACGCTAATACAATATGAGAAAAAAATAATAATCGTTCATTAGTGTCAAAATTTTCCTGTAGGAATATAAGCCAGGATTATTTGGCCCCAGGAGAGGAAGTTAATAGGCAGCGGCCACAATTATGTAAATAATTCCCTGGTGGAAGTGTAGGCGTTTATCGAAAGTATATGGAGCAACTTCGGCAAACTTGAAGCAAGACCTACTCGTGGATGATACAGAATATCTATCATTCTGACAACGAGTCGGATAATGCAGTGAATATGCACGTTTTTCACTTTCAGAAAGAATCAAATTTCTCCCCGGAATCCCCAAGAGAGCCCACAGAAAATAGAATATCCCCGGGCGAGTGGACGTTCCCTAACAAGAGGCTGGGAAAAACTAAACCATAGAAATGATGGATAAGCCTTCACGTATTCAGATGTAAATTGCCATAGAGTCCTTCATCATTCGGGCCATTCAGACGCGATGTCGTCCGGCACTAAGCTGTGTGTCCATCCGTAAAATTTCCCTTCACACCGTACTTGTAGCAATTTGTGGGCAACGTCTTGCGTGGACATGATAAGGGACGCCATCTGGTCTTGGAAAGAAAAAGTGAGAGTGTTGTGAGGAGGAAATAAACAGAAGCCGTGGCACATCAGACCCTAGATAAACGTGACAAGCACCGGGAATTAGCACCTCGTCCAGAAACGACCCATAAGGGCGGGAACAAAAGCAGAGATGACAGGCTTAACAATGGGATAATCAAATCACACCATGACATCAGCATACACTAGCTCCATTTTCCACACCACTGAGTCGCGTGGGGGGACTGGGGCTGCTATGGCTTCTCAGCCCTCCCCACTTCGATACTGCGGAAGCTAGATAAGTATCTATGATGCTAAAACCGACCGTACTTGTCTGCTATATTTTGATATTTCAGCCTTACAACTTGAAAAGCCTGGATACAGCTGATCTGGCTAATAAGCCGACCCTGGCGGGGAAGGGGGTTGAAATGTCAGGGGTTGTCTACATGATCCAAACAGTGTCGCACGACCAGCGCACCACCGGATTTGCTGCCGATGACACACACAACCAAGCTGCAGGTGTTCACCTCAGGCAGGGGCTCTGCGCCGCTCCACGCCACGGCCATGGTTAGAAGTGGCTAAAATGAAAACATATGTTTCGGGGCAGCCGATGTTAATTCCAGGACACATCCAGCTACAGCTCGTTAGCCGCAGAACGGTGTCCCCCGCAGCACCGGCTGAAATCCCGCCAAAATCCGCCGATACGGTCCATCACAGACCCATTGTGGGAGGGCCGTAAAAGTGTGAAAACCAGGACATCGTAAGGTCCGATCAAAAATCCTAATTGGCGACTATCAGATTGCACGATAAGCCCGTTATCGGCTGGCTCGATCAATCACCCATGACCCCCTAGCCTGGTCCCGGGCAAGGCTGGGGGTCCGACCAGCGCCCCGTACCGCAACTCCATTTGTACGGGACGTCTCCAACAAATTGAGGATGTTTCGGTATAACGAGAACCAGCTGAAACTGTCCGGCTTACATACGACCATATCTCTCACGTCTGTACTATAATGCCTCCTGGCATGTAGATAGGATAAGAGAGACTTTAGATTAGCTGGTAAGTGAAAGTGTCTGATTTGATAACGATCAACGCAAAGTTGATCGATGTTGATAGTGTGACACCGCAATTATCGGAGTAATAGTGAACATCTTTGGAGAAGGTGTAAAGCATCAGTCATTCGGTGCCATCTTCCGCGTCCCAGATCACCTGAACGCTAAGCTGTAAACGACTTACGGGCCCCTCCCACCCCCTCTCCCCGCTGTGCTCTGGGTCGCCCACGGTCACGACTCCTTGGCCCCGTAACAGGCAGGTTCCATCAGCGGGGAGGGGAGTCCGTATCCAGGACATCCCCTCCCACCGCATCGGTCCGCCCAGCCCGGACCTAGCCTCTCCGGGGTGGTCTCCGCACGATATCGGGCACTGATTAAAAACCTATATCTGCAGACGGGGAGAAAGTGCTGGCTGACATTATTGAGACCACGTGTGGGGGTGTTATGTTGGTCTGCTTCCCATCTCCCGCAGAACGCGCCATGGGGCAGGGAATATCCCGCCACTGGGGACTTCTCTGGTCTTTCTCCGTCAATCTTTGCGTTCACCTACTAACCCGGCGTTCTGTGTCAGCGACGCCGGCTTGGTCCTTGCGGCATTCAAACCGTGAAATAATTTTATACCAAGTCCAGATGAAGCGTTCCCAACCAAGCTATGGCAAATTTTAACGACGAATCTACATGTATTATTATTATACACCACATGTTCCTTTTATTGGGGTAAGCAATAGCAGCGCACCCTTTTGTAATATTGTACCCCGTGCCGATTGTGGCTATCACGTTCAAGTTCAGTGATCTTTCATTTCATTGACGGCATGTGACTGCGCGGGTCGATTTTCTGTTGTCGGTAACCATAGACAAACCAAGGTCAGCGAATCACGTGTATTCCGTACTCGTCGGTAACGATTCTTCGTCTGTGTACATGTAGTTATACAATATATTGGCTATACGTGTACTTTTAAATAATGGGGGAATAGCTCGCACCGTTCAAGTTCAAAACCAACTAGGGACTGAACTCTCGGATTTGCGTTGAGGAGATTGTCTGTTTGTGATTTAGAGGAAGTTCCGACACGCAGATCGTAAGATAACGTCGGCATCAACAAGCCGAGCAAGTGCAAGGTAACCGAACACTTCCCTGCCCCGCCAATCGCAGTGGGCACGAACACGGGGAGCCCACAGCAAACACAACAGCAGTGATTGGCTCAATTTACCGCTAATGGTTTTCAATTTACTGTAAAGGGAAAATCACTGCCTGGACTGGGTACTGGATGTGACTGTACTTTTTAGGCTGCGAAGTTTCCTTTCCCGCGAGTCGCCCAGAAATTATGACGTCGCTCCGAGGCGTAGGTTCAGGTTGTGAAACGAGATATTTCGTCAGACATGTTCACCCAGCTGCAGGGTAGGTCTGGGACATATTATCTCTACACACTCTAGTTTTATACGATCAGCAGGAACGACTGAAGACAGGTGAGGATAGGTACCTATCTGTCGGAAACTTCAAGCCACACAGACGACACCCAGATAAAATTCATTTTCAACACCTTACGTGATTCTCCGCGGTCGTGAGGCCCCGCCCTACGGGACTTCCGCCCAATCACCGGGCGGTAATGCACCCCACTTGATGGAGGTTTAGATAAGGGTCAGACGCAGACACCAATCCACGTGCTCGTATCCAATGATTGATGTCTGCGCGGGCCCCATTTGCTTCAGACATGGGCGGATTTTCATTTAAATTATCGACGAGTTGTTTTCCTAATTATACGTCAGTTTGAGTTTAGCGGCGATCAGTACGGTGCCGGGCCAGGACGTGATTCGCCTGCAGTTCCACTGCACTGATCAACAGTAGAGCGTGTGTGCTGCTTGTGTCCCAAACTTTCCGGACTCTGCCCATTGCCACTTCCCGCCATGAGCGAGACGGAGACCCCGGTGGAGGTGAAGGAGGAGCCCGCCGAGCTGGAGAGCCTGAAGCGGGAGCGGGAGGACACCGATGACGAGGAGAGCAGCAGCGGCTCGGAGGACGGCAGCGGGCCGAGCGACAGGAAGCGCCACAAGTTCCCGAGCCAGATCCGCGAGGCTGTCAGCAATGTTTTGAAGGGGTACGACTGGACGCTGGTGCCCATGCCGGTCAGAGTCAACGGATCGTCCAAATCGAAGCCCCACGTCAAGCGGCCCATGAACGCCTTCATGGTCTGGGCCCAGGCGGCCCGGAGAAAGCTGGCGGACCAGTATCCTCACCTGCACAACGCCGAGCTGAGCAAGACGCTGGGGAAGCTATGGCGGTAAGTGGGAGTTCCAACTCCAACTTTTCATGGGTGGATGCATGCCGATACACCCGGCACGGCATGGCCGGTGTACAATCAGCAACAGGTTTCTCTGGGGTGCGTGCAGCTGGGTACTTTATCGGAAACTCGGGGAATCCGCCGGGTGTACTGATTAGCGGGCTCGATCTAAAGTGGTGTTAGGATAGCTTGTGACTTTGGTCTTTGAAGGATCCCGCGCAACTTTCTCTGGAAGACGGCCATTTGCTCTGGGGGAGCACGTCCCACAGCTGATCGCCATGTTTGACAAACATGCCCCGTAACTTCATTACGTCTCCGGCGTACCAAATAATCAGCAGCTCGCCTATCGACTAAACCTTCCCGCGCTAGGATCATGTCTTTTTTGGCAGGGAAACCTTTTTTTTATTGCATTAGCTAGATCTGGGGTTGTCGAACAGGGCGCTGGCGGGTCGTAGTGAGTGGGCTGGTGTGGGAAAGTTCGCACCTCTCGCTGGGGTGTTTGACTTTCGTACTCTGTTGTTTGATTGTGAATGTACTTCACAGTAAAGTAATTCGTACACAAACATTAATGTTTCCTTTCGTTCATTTTCTCCTTCCCTGCAGTATGTTGAATGAGGACGAGAAGAGGCCGTTTATCGAGGAAGCCGAGAGGCTGCGCGTCCAACACAAGAAAGACCACCCCGACTACAAGTACCAGCCCCGCCGGCGGAAGAACAGCAAGGCAAACCAGGGGTCCGGGGACGAGGCTGGCTCCGAGGCGTCGCCCATCTCCGCCAACACGCTCTTCAAGGCGCTGCAGGCGGAGTCTCCCACGGGCAGCGAGCCGCACAGCCCCGAAGACCTGAAGGGACCGTCCCCCCATGACGGGTCGGTCGGCGTGACACCGAGCAGCCAGGCCCCACCCACCCCGCCGACAACGCCAAAACAAGACCAAGGCATGACGGCGCTCAAGGCCGACGGCATGAAGCGCGACCCGACCTCCAACACCCTCACGGCCATCCACAGGGACGGTCCCCACCACCACCACCACCACCCTCAGGGGCACGGCCATCCCAACATAGACTTCAGCAATGTGGACATCGGGCCTTTGGATGTTATGTCCAGCATGGAGTCTTTCGACGTCGAGGAGTTCGATCAGTACCTGCCTCCCAACGGGCACCCGGCGTCGGCCAGCGGTCACCACCCTTCCCACCCGCCCTACACAAGCTACAGCCAGATGTCTTCCTCCGCTACAACCACCGTAACGTCGTCGTCTTCATGGATGGCCAAGCAGAACACCTCTCCCAGAGACAACTCTCAGGAGCAGCGTCTCCCCGTCAAGATGGAACAGGAGCACCTTCCCCCTCCTCCCCCTCAGTACACCCCTCACCCACCGGCCTCCTCCTACAACTACCAGCCACAGTATTCCTCCTACCAGCACTCCCCACCCAGACCACAGTACACTGACTATCCACCCCCTGCCCACTCCCCACAGCAGTTCTACAGCCCGCACCCCACCTCCTCCTCCATCCCACCGCCCTACAACTACATGGCACCGCCGCAGCGATCTCTCTACCCCACGGTGGCAGGGGCACCGTCAACATGGGAGCCCTCCTACACGCAGCTCGCCAGGCCCTGAACCTTGGCCGGACTTTGAACTCAGTCCTTCTGGAGTTGGACTTCCTCTGCGTGAGTGACCTATCTTTGTACAATGTGCGCTAGCTTGTCAGGACGCTATCCGTAACCACATCATCCATGGTGGGTAAGGTTACAGTGCTAAATGGTGCGGGAGAGATTGAATGTACGTCCCGCGGATCTGCTATCTGTTGCAGGTCCTCGTGGACAAGACATCTGGAAAAGTGCTACAAGCTAGAAAATAATGAGCCCAGGGCAGGACTGTGCACCGATCTGCCGGATTAGTACTGTGTCTGAGTGGCCGGACAGGCCCCCTGTCATGCCTAACTCCCAACTAGAATTGGAGATGTTCTAAACGTCCCACATAAGGGCTAATCCACCAGTGCCTAAACATACCATGACCACTAGTTTTCAGTTGTATATGGTCAGTGGGAATGTACATGACTTCTTACAGGTTGAATTTTTGATGACATTGTCACCCTCTAAAAGCAAAGTGTGATCATGTTTAACATTTTGAAGAGTGTTTGGTTCGTGCTCTTAGTAAGAAGGAAAGTGTATATATTTATATATTTCTGTAACTGTCTAGGAAGTCAGTGCCCATCATGCTTCATACAGATATGAAATATTGGCAGGATCCTTTGGCTGTATGAATGACATTCCAACTGTGTAAGCAGAACCTAGCATTATGGCAACACTCGAGGGACCTTTACTTTAGGTATGCAGCAAATGCTCTAGTCATACATAAGTTGTTGAAGAGGTGCAGATTTATATTCTGAAGAAATGTTGTTTGACCAGTAAGTAATTTTTAATACAAAAGCTTTACAACTGTTAACTACTGTGATGTGATCTATTCTTCTGAGAAGGAGGATTTATGTACAAGCCTTCCAAGTCTAAACATAATTCTATGTCAATTCTGTTTGAATATTCTTGTTGTTTGTGCACCATATTTTAAATAGAGATTTTGTTTTGTAAATAGTTCTCAAGGAGAAGAAGTTTACATTAAAAAGATGTGCATTTATTATAAACTTCTTGTCTCAGTTGTCTTTAATGGTGTTGAGTACTGCGATTTGACAGGCTAGTTTAGTCATCAAGGAACAGCAGCACACTTGGCAACCATGTGGAAATCAGCAGTAACAAAACTAATAAGGACTGCAGTATTGTTTGCCTGAACACTCCAGGTTATGCATGACAATAGGCTTTTAACGATTCGCTATCAACAAGGGCTTCCATGAATACACTTGGGAAACAAGCAGTAAATAACTTATCAAATCAAGGGCCCAGAAACCTGTCAAACTTTGTTGCTCTCACAACTTCTCAAGTAACTTAACATCCTAAACATTTGGCAGAAAGTGCTTTGCCATGGTGGGAAGAAATGTTTTGTGCTAAAAATTTTAAGATTTACTTGAAGCTTTTACAAGGTCTTGGAGACAGATGCAAGAAGGGGGCACCACTTTACAGAGCTGAGGCTGCACTTATTCCAGAAGGAGTGTCTCCTGTGACTGGACATGAATACTAAACATGTGATTTGTAACAAGACAATTATACAGGGGATAACAAAAGACAGAGCAGCAGAGATCTGGTCAGTGCCAAGCCATTTCTGTCTCGTGCCAGGTTGGTTTCCTGTTCTTTGGCCAGAAAAGCGGCAAAATGAAACTAAAGTGAGAATGCAGGTGGCCTTGCCGGGCCTGAAATCTCAAAACCTCTCAGAAGGAGAGAGAACGGGGTGACTCGCATGACATTACCATGGATCCAGTTGACAGCTACATAATAGGCCAGTGCGGTAACTTGACAAAACACTTACTGCATGAGAAAACCCAGGGCATCGTATAACCAAAAGGGCCATTTTAGTAACTGCCAGTGGGAACTTCTAGAGAATTCAATTCCAAAGCCAACTTATTACATTGGAGGAGAAGTCTGTCTCAGTCTCTTGATGTTACAAGGGTATGTTTATGTATGCAGGACAGTACAGGGGGAAGACACCAAGCTAGACAGGGTGCGGTGAATGTCCCACCCCCCTCTTACAGGGCCGGTAGGGTGACAAAGGTCCCCATGAGCTATACCGGCATCCGTTTACATGTCCCAAACCCGACCCTCTGCACCACTGTGCCAACTAATGCAGGGGACTGTTGTTCCAAGCAACACTGTTTTTGTAGGTCCACTAATGTTGGGCCTGCTAGTGGAAATCTAAGTCAACGTCAAGGGGCTGGACTGCCATTCAATCCCACGTGTTGGCCATGTTTGATAAATAGAACTGGGAAGTGTAGAGTTTGCTGTACACAACTTATGTCATCCTTTCTACTTATAGTAGCAACGCAAGGTGCCAACTGAAGAGCACCCTCCAGTCTGTCTCCCCTTGGTGTAGGACAGGGACTGGGGAACTGAAGCGGCTACTTTCAGTACTTCCTAAATCGTGCATGGCAGGGCTACTTCTCTCTGAAAACAGACATGACCACTCTAACCTGTTGTCCTTGCTGGTCTATTGGCAAGAACGCTGGGAAATCCAATGCAAAGGAACCTTAAGAACATTCTGGGGTACTATTTTAAACTGGCCCCAGTAAAGAATATAAGCAATAAAGGAGATGCTGGTAGTTTTCTGCCCCTATTTACTAGTATGAAGACAACTGTCAATAAATAAAACAGTTTAGGTCATGCATGCCCTCAGGTATCATACTAGTGGTGTCACCCTTTTGTTTATGTTAAGACTATTTTATCATAGGTGTGGATTGCAGGTTGTTTTGCATTCTTAAGCCTAAATCTAGGAAAGTAGACCTCTTTCCTGTTTCGATGATCAAAGATATGTGTATGATTATAGGTTGGATCACAAGATATGGATTATGGGTGTGTTCTGTTCCATAATATGTTTCCTGTTTTGGTGCCACTCAAAACCATTCTGACGTGAAATCCCTTCTGCAAATATAAAACACTTCGGACACTCTCTTTGCTCCAATGGATCTGGTAGCCCCAGCCCCAGAGCACAGGTGTACCATAAAATGTACAGAGAACATTTCTGAAGTCAGTTGGTACTGTCGGTGAACTTTTTCACAGGGAAGTGACTTCTTCTCAGCTGGCATAAGTCCAAACACACCATTCAGCACAAATACCCTGGCATGACTTCACTAGCTATAAATCAGGATCAACTATAGCCACAGCTAGAAGTATAGCCACTTTCATAAATCTATGTTCAAATACAACGCAGATGAATTTAAGTTCCTATCTATTGTTCTCAGGACAAAGATTATGGCTACAAAGTCAGAATTGCTGAAAAAGTTTGAAGGATCCATCATGCAATATTCATTGCCTTGGCCAAAAAGCAGGAAAACACCCAACAGCTTCCTGTGACCCAAATCAAAGTTTGTGAATGGAGGGGTCAGGGGTGATTAGTTAGGCAACCTTGGGTCAGAACTCTGTAAAGGGAAACTTGGCTCAGACTGCCAATTCACTGGTGATTCATCCTGGAGAGATGAAAGGGAGAGGACTAGGAACCAAACTCCTCAGGGAAGCCATGGAAACCACCATCATCTGATGACTGCCAGAACATGCACATCTGCAATATGCAATATGCAACAAGAGGTACAGCACGAAGCAGCATGGTTCTACCAAACCTCTAAACCTCCTAACTTGATAAAACCAAATAAAAGTTGAGCTCAGTTTGATCACATTTGTCAATGCCCCAAAACACACAACTGTTAGCTCCAAGGTACATCCCCAGTCCCTGGAAACTGAGACTTCTAGAGGCTAATGACATCTTCAGAGGACACATATGACAGCCACAATACTTGTGAGCGACAAGCACCCTGCCCACTATTAATAGCTGTGATTCACAACAGCAGCCTGCATGCATGTCTGTGCCATGTGGACTCAGGGCAACACTTGTTGTTGATGTGTTCCCTGATATGGAAGCTGGGGTGACCCCAGGGTCAGGGGATGTGTCAGAAGGGATCCCCAGGGTGGGGACAGCTGAGGGGTTCGGGTTACTCAGCCACTGGCCTGGGTCCCACTCATCACCTGTGTGAGCCATCTCACCCAGAGTCAACACTGTTCCACATGTGCGTAAAATACAGATATGAAACATGGTAGTTACATGGATAGGGACTGAGAGTATCCTGAGGAAGCAGAAGTTAGATCAATTGCTTTTAAGTAATTAAGGGCTATTTTCGTGCATTATCAATCATTGCATGATATATTCATATGAATGTGAGGTGCTAAAATGATTTTGGTCTTCTGCTGTTATTTCTCCTGACTACTTTCCAATCATCAACTATATACTACTACTGTATGATGATAGGACATAATTGTCATACATCATTACATGTACTGTCAATGGATTAAACAAGCATGTAAGAATCAGGCCTGATAAGAATCTACTATCTAGCTTGAGTGGAGCAAGACGCAGGTCAGAAACTGATAGAATTGCACTTGTAAAGTTGTATTACTGCATGTTGCACAGCATAAAATTATATGTACCCATTTGCACTGTATCACACTATACTTGGTTGGGAGACAAAAGTTTATAGATTTTGAGATCTGGCTGAAGTGAAACCCAAAGGGTATAGCCTTGGCCTAGTTCTAAGACTGGGATGGACTGTGTGTTACCGGAAGTGAGTAAAAGCTGGTTCTGTGGGCAGAACAGACATGTTGTTCCAAGGCAGGAGTGACAGCACCTCTAGAGGGACCCAACACACAGGGGCCTTCTCAGGACCTGTCCCAACACACTGCACAAATTGTCAAAACAGTGCCTGACCAGAAACCGGAACCACTAAGGCCAACTGGGCATCCCTTTTACACTTGATCATGACTTCCAGTAGCAAGCCTGAGATCTGGAGTTTGGCACCATGCCTAAACTAGGCCACTCAAGGCTGCACAGAGTACACTAGCCTTCATCTGTTATTATAATGTTTCCACTTACAAAAACTTGGGCTCCCATTAGTCTGTCTCAGACATACTATATAGCTTGGGGATGACTTGAAGGTGGATGTTATCAACAATTTTGTTGCAGTTTATCAATCCATGATAGCATTAGATGTTTGTAACATAATGAAAGGTGCAACACACTTGATCAAATAAAATGTTTTCTGTTCCGCTAGACATATCTGTTCCTTCACAGGTGAGAAAGTTTTGACCATGGAGTAATCTACTTAGTAATAGCTGCCTTCCTGCAATACTTCACCACATGGGAAGTCCAAATGAAATCTTCTCGTTTGGAAAATCCAAAGTCACTAACGACAAAAGACCTAGATCCTAGAAATAATACAGGATTAAGGATTGAATTCCAAATAAAGTTTTTGCATCAAACATAATTGATTTTCGGTAGACTTCAAGGGAAATGAGTAATACAGATGTAACACCAATTATGCAAATGAAGTCACTGGTCAAGAGTTGCAGGTGACACCTGCACAGCTGTCACACCTGGACTCCTGTGGTTTGTGATTTAAGACTCTAACCTGTTGGATTGACACCTTACAATCCTCTGTCGGCTTTGATCTTGACTGTACATCACCGTATTTACAGAACTCACCTGTCCAAATCTGAGTGATACATATTAAAAAAGGGGGTCTAGTTTTTCCCCCACAGAGTATTCACAAATCAAAGCAAGGATTGACAACAGGAAGTCAAGATATTCCTGTAATTCACTCACTCCTATACTCACTATCCGGTAATTATTTTCATAAAACTCAGGATAGAAGGTTTACTGTACTCCCTACTGACTGCTGGTTCTGGGAAACTTACTGCCACTGACACACAACAGACACAGCTGACCTCCGAAAGTTAAGTGCAATGTCAAGTCAATATTATTGATTAGTGGAACACAACAGAAGTTTGTATCCTGCTTCCTGTGTGAATGAAAGGCATGGCTATGTTACAACAGAGCCGTGTAGTTCATACAACCCATTGTCGCTTCAGGTGCAGAAAACCACACTAATTATTCAATATCCATTACAAATCAGTTGAAAAAATTCAAAATGGTGGCCTGGCCAGAGCTGTATATTTCCATGGCACAAAAGAAGTGGCAAGTTTATTTAC